TCTGTAAATGTTCATTAAAATTAATAAAAAATTTTTAAAAAAGAACTAGTCTATCTGAAGAACTTGATATCAGGACTGGAGGAAGATTCATTAACTCATTAAGCACAGCCTTGCTGGCTGAAAGCAAAGACGACTTGTGATATTTGTTGATGTTCAAAGACTATAGCCTTCAGTATATATTACACTTCAACATAAAGAAAACTCCTCAAAAATGGATAAACATGATAAACAGAAAATATTTGTTGTCAATTACTTCCATTTACTTTGTCCCACAATCAATATACATAAAGTTAACAGTCAAGAAATCAAAAGACCCATTGCATTGGGCATATCTGTATCAAAAAGCCTCTTTAAATTATTAAAAAGATAGCACTTTGAGAACTAAGGTATGCCTAGCCCAAACCACAGAATTTTCAATTGCCTGATAAGCAGACAAAAGCTGGACAATGAGTAAGGCCACAGAACCGGTGTGCTGAAATTGCGATATTAAAGAATACGGAATATACCATGGACTGCCTGACTAAAGGGTCTCAGTCACATAATGTAACACCTCCAGCAGCTGACCCAGATGCATTAAAATCTCTGTGGAAGAGCAGGCTCCTCACCTAAGGACTTAACAGCCTTAGAAAACTGATGGGTGTGGCGGTTATTAGGAGTTGAAATGAACTAGTCTTCTTGCCATTTCTATCGTAGCAGTTGTTGTTATGTGCTTTCGAGTTAAGTGACCCCATGAACATCAATCCTGTGCCATCCTCAGTATCTCTAACACACTTACTTGAGTCCACTGCAGCAGTCACTGTGTCAATCCATCTCATTGAAGGCCTTACCCTCCTCTGACCCTCCACCTTTCCAAGCATGATGTCCCTTTTCAAGCAACATGACTGAAGTATGAGAGATAAAGCTTCTCTATCTTCCAACGAGCATTCTGGCTCTACTTTATCCAAGACATATGTTTTATTGGCAGTCAATGGGATATTCAGTACTGTTCTCCAAAACCAAAATTCAAGGACATCCATTCTTTTTTGTCATCTTTATTCATTGCCTAGCTCTTGTTTTTGGTTCAACATTCTTCTAAGTGGTATAATACTTGCTGTACAGAGGTAACTTGTGGTGGTTGTGATGCTAAACACTGTGACACTGATACATCAAATGAGATAATGGTTACCCATGGTAGACATTGCTCCTCAGTAATTTGGAAAGGTCCCTGACAGCATATTTGCCCAATGCAATACATCTCTGTAGTCTTGAATTCTTTTACCACAGGTGTTGTGGATCCAAGTAAAATGAAATTATTAATTTCAATCTTTCCTATGTTGCCTATCAGTCCAGTGGTGAGGGGTTTTGTCTTCTTGATGTTGAGATGCAATCCATATTGAAAGCTGTTGTTGTCAAGTGCCATTGAGTTGCTTGTGACTCACATCGAACTTATGCACAATAGCTCAGAGCCTACCCTAAATCGAGCCGATTTCAGGGTCTCTGACACACCTACCTCCATTGTCCTGGTTATTGGGTCAATCCATCTCTTCTAGGATCTTCCTCTCCTGCACCTACCCTCCACCCTTCCAAGCATTATGCCCTTATCCACAGACTTGCCCCACTGGGCAACGTGCCCATAGTATGTGAGACAGAGCTTCAAAAATCCTGGCCTCCTTCTAAGCAACTAGGGACAGTAGAAAAATAAAGAACAACAAAATAAAGCTGTCCTTAACACCGCCCAAATGTTAATCTGATGTAGTTCTTTTCATGCTGAAATAAATTCAATTGTTAGTTGTAATTGTTGGACCTCCCTGAAATAGTAAAGAACAAAATAAAGCAAGCTATCTGCACCTAAAAAAAAAAAAAAAATCCTGGCCTGCTGCATTTTGGCACTTCCTAAAAAAACTCAACATAGCTATTCCATTACTTGGACTATACCCTGAGAAAATGAGAACTGAGGCACAAATGGAAATTTGTACGCCTATGTTCATAGCAGCATTATTCACCATCGCAAAAACATGGAAACAGCCCAAATGTCTAACCACAAACGAACGGATTGAGAAATTATGGTACATTCACACAATGGAATGCTATGTAGCACACAGAAGAAATGATGTTGCAAATTACCTAACTCGGGAGGGACTGGAGAGCATTATGCTGAGTGAGATAACTCAGTCCCACAAGTATAAGTATTGTATAAATCCATTATTGTAGAATGAGTATAAGGATCCAAGAGGGGTGGGAGAGGCTGGAAGCAGAAGGATGAGGATGTGCAGGGGAAGGAGGAGATTAATCATGGGGTTGTACAATTTGATGGGGGGCCGTGAGGGAAATGGAAAGAATTTTTTCCTGAAAAAAAAGGAATCAAAATTTAAAAAACAAGAAGGAAGGGGGAAAAAAAAAAAACCGAAAAAAAAAATCCTTGTCTCCAAGGAGCAACTCAGCTTCACCCTCTCCAGGAAAGACCTATTTGTTCTCTTGGCAGTCCATAGTATATTCAATACTCCTCTATCCCCATAACTCATAACTTCTTCTTCTCTCATCCTTATTCATTGCCCAGCTCTCTGATGCATAGCAAGTATTTACTAATAACATGGCCTGGATCAGGCACACGTTAGTCTCCAGACTGACATCCTTGCCCTTCAGCACTCTGGAGCAGTTCCTGACAACTGACTTTCCCAGTGCAATTTGTCTTTTGATTTCCTGAATGCTAGTGCCAAGAGTGTTGATTGTGGAAGCAAGCAAGTTGATATTAACAATCTCAATCTCTTCTCCATGTATCATGGTGCTGCCAATTGGCCCTGTGGTGAGAATCTTTGTTTTCTTATGTTGAGCTTCAATCCATATTGGAAACTGAGGTCCTTAACCTTCTGCAGCAAATGTTTCAGGTCCTCCTCAGTCTTGGCATTGAAAGCTCTAGTCTTTAATTTACAGGTGTTTCAAATATTCTTCACTAACAGCAAACAAGATTGTCATCTGCATAATACAAATCATTGGTAAGTATTCCTTGGATCTTCATGCTACATTCTTGATGTTGTTATTGTCATCGAGTCGTAGACGAATCATAGTGATCCTATGAACAAGAGACCTGAACAACCGTGTAACTTATCATTTCTCCAAGTTCATAGGGTTTCCAGAAGCAAGCTATTTCGGAAGCGAATGTCAGTCTTCTTCCAAGCTTGTTTTAATCGGGGAGCTCCACCATACACTGTCCACAATGGGTAACCATTATCACATTTGATGTATCAGTGTCACAGTGTTTAGCAACACAGTAAACACTAGTTACCTCTGTACAGCAAGTGGACAGACTAGTGCTATACCACTTGGAAGAATGTTTGACCCAAACCAAAACCAGGTCTGAGGTCCACAGATGAAAATGACCCACCTTTGATTTGGTAGCATAACGTTCTATCCACCAGGCCCACAGAGCTTTCTTTATGCGGTGGTGGTGTTAAATACTGGAGTTGTAGATGACTCATATCGATCTTCTTGAGTTACTTAATTAGCATACCAATTGAATAGGTATAGAGAAATACAGCTTCCTTGATTTTCAACCACACAGTGTTCCCTTGCTGTAACAACTTCTTCTAGACACAAATACTGTATTAGCATAATTAAGTGTTCTGGGATCCAATAACTATTTTTTGGTCTGGCCAAAAGAATAGGCAACTGTCTTGGAAGCACAGCCAAAATGCCTCTTAGAAGAATGCTAGGGTTCATTTCATGCACTTGAGACATGTTATCAGGAGAGGCCAGTCCCCCAAAGACATGCTATTTAGAGGGTCAGTGATAAAAACCACGTGAACAACAGTGAGTTAAAACACTACAATGAATGCAATGGCAGCACAGGACAGTGTTTTACGTTAACACAGTCTGTGAGTGAAAGCAACTCAACAGCTCTTAGCAATGCTTAAGATTACTAAAATTCCTTTGTCCACTTTCAGCTTGGATTACCCATTGCTATTGATTCCCAAGGCTATGTATCCGTATGATCTCATGTCTCTTGCAATGCCTGCTAGTTTTGAACTTCCTACCACTTTAACCAACCTGCTATTCCTTTCTTAGATCATATTGGGACCAATTAGCAAAAAAAATTGAACGTGCTACTGATCCCCACCTAAAGTCCTACCACTGGAAAATACCCGAGTTCCATGTCATTTACCACCGCATTCAGGGGACTGTATGTGGGAGAAATTGCATAGTTCCTTTCAAACCTCCTAGCCTTGCCCTTTCAACACAAGTATTAAGAAATGAATGTAGAGAGACGCTATTTTCAACCTACATGGTTTCAGTTTTTCCTGTGTTCTGTTGCTTTGACTAGCTATTGTATTTAGTTACAAAAGTCCTACTTTTTCTTTTATCACTTTACCAGGCGTAACAATAATTTCATTTGTCTTCAGCCCTTGGATTGTCTCAGGATGTTGCGGGAGCAACTTTTATGGCAGCAGGTAGTTCAGCTCCTGAATTAGTTACCGCTTTCCTAGGTAAATATTGCTGTTTGGGGTTTTTGGTTTTTTTTAACATACTTGATATTTTCCTTTGAAGTAAATTCTAACAGCTACTGTAACTGCTCATAGGTGTATTTGTCACAAAGGGAGATATTGGCATTAGTACAATTCTTGGATCTGCAATTTATAATCTTCTTGGCATATGTGCAGCTTGTGGCTTGCTATCGAACATGGTATGTAAAACATCAATAAAGTTTACTGTTATGAAAATTAATCTGGGGGAACAAAAGACTAGTAGTATGTTCAATCAAATTTATTAAATCAGTAGGAAAACATGTATTCAACTGACAGCTAACCCACAAATAGTTCTTGGTCTAATCAGTGTAGGTTTAGAAACACTTAAAATTCCCTTTCTCTAAACAATATGCAAAACATTTTATCTACATACATTTAGTATTAAACATCGTACTTGGGAAAAAAAGTTAGTTAATAAAGACTGTACTCTTTAACATTTTACAGGTTTCAACCCTATCTTGTTGGCCTCTATTCAGAGATTGTGTGGCCTATGCAGTTAGCGTAGCAGCAGTTCTTGGCATAATATTTGACAACAAAGTTTACTGGTAAGCTTGAAATGTTACTTCTATGCAAAATACAATAAGAGGATTTTCTAGAATTCTGATGGTTCATTAGCTTCATCTCCCTAAAAATAGTAATCACCTCTCAGTTATCTGCCACTTCTACCCCTTTTTCCAGTGGGTCTCAAGTTAACTCCCTCATCACACTTCATGGCTGTTTCTCCCACTTTATGGTTAAAGCCGTGTCACTAGACCCTGGAGACCTCCACTCTTCTTTCTCCCTGGTGGCTCTTAATCAGTCTCCCAATTTTGGTTGACAATTAAAAGTCCCAGCAGTCAGCTTTTTCTCCTACTGGTCATTGCTTTCTTCACTTTAGTCTGAAATAATCATGGTCATAAGACTGGAGATTGATGCAGGAAGTAAAGGAATTCTCTTCAAATTTCTCCAAAGTCCTAATAATGTTCATTTAGCTACAGGAGTGGCTAGTTAACTCCTTCCCCTAAGAATTGTTAAAACTATAACATTAAAAGCTTTATTTTCTCCATAATCTCCACAAGCCTCACTAATGCAAGAAAATGAATACAAGAGTGACTGAATGTAAAGTCATTAACTTTATAAACACACAACAGGAATCTACTTGGTTATTTTTCATAGTCAAGCATCCAAAGGGTTAAAGAAAAATACACTGTACATAGTAAGATAGGCTATACACACTACATTAACTCCAGAGGGCATTTTTAAAAAGGGGGGAAGGGAAATGTAAATGACACTGCTCTAGTGTACAATACTGTATGATACTGTTTTCAAAGAATTTAAGATCACAGTACAGTTTTAAAATTAATCACCCTAAAATCTAGACTGCCTCTCCTAAAAATTACATAAATATAGTGATTTTGAGAGTATCCAAGCTAATGCTCACTCCATTAAGGAAACAGAAAACTCTTTCAGTAGTAGCACCAAGATTCACTGGCATAAAAGGTGAGCATCAAGTCTCATTGTGACAACATAAGCCTGCCACATTTAAGCAGAAAATCTGACAATTTTTATATCTAATTTATGAGTATTGTTTTCTTCTAACTACAAACCAAATTTAGTTACAGTAACTAAAAGTATACTTTAAAAACACAAGAAACTACTACAAAGCCCAAAGTCTGTAATATTCTCAATGCTTTACAAAATTCTTGTGCCAGAGAATTTAAACAGGACCATACATGCCCCTCACTTTTTATGTTTTAGCACAGAATGAGAATGTAGACATTGTTGCATTTTGTTACACATTAAGGTCACCAGGACCAACAACATAGCAAAAATTCATGACTTCTGTGAAAATGTGTTTTTTTGTTTTTGTTTTTTTTTTATTTTCAAGATAGTCTTCTGTTTCTACCCTGAAAGGACTCTAGATAAAAACGCTGAGTTTATAATCCAAAATTTTCTCTGAAATATGGAATACTTAAAACTTTAAGTGTTCTAAACAAGTTAACATCTACAAAATGAAAAATACCAAGTTTTTACTATTCTCATGTCTTTGTCAGAAAATTATAGATTAATTTTAAGCTACGACCAAAGCTACTAATTCTAAACTTTAATTTGAAAACACTTTTTTTAAATTTATAGGTATGAAGGAATTTTACTGCTTCTGATATATGCATTATATGTTTTGGTTCTGTGTTTTGATGTTAAAATTAACCGATGCATTATAAAGAAATGTAGCCCATGCTGTACCTGCCTTGTCAAAGCTATGGAGGAAAGAAATGAACAACAGCCACTAATGGGATGGGAAGATGATGATCAACAATTTGTACGCCGGCAATCAAGAACTGATAGTGGAATATTTCATGATGATTCTGGCTACTCCCAGCTTTCTTTAAGTTTACATGGTCTCAGTCAGGTTGCTGAAGGTAATAATCATAACTTACTTACATGTCATTGAAACCATGATTAATTTTAATCGTTATAAAAATTTGATCTTTCAATTTATCAAGTATTTATTATGTAAAAGGCACTGTGCAGATTGAGATGAAAAGGCATCCCCTGTTCTTAAAAGCAGCTTTCAATATAGAATTGGAAAAAACATAATACCAAAGAGATAAAAATAATGTAATTATGATTCCTAAATTGAGTAGCTTGATAAGGATAGAAAATGACAGAGTATCATGGAACCCATGGTGTTTAGTTCTAATTCAGTGACCTTTCGAGTTTCTGAGACCACTACCCATCTTCCCCTTAGCACAAGATGGTAGATTTGTACTGATCTTTAAGTTAGCTGCCTAATACATTACACACTATGTCCAAAAAAAGCTTCTTAAGGTCCACAACAGTCAATGCTCACAGCAGCTCAACAGGACAAAAGTTGACTAGCACATCTTTCCAGCACGAAGAAGCTCGTAGGTATGAATGGCCAACCTTCTGGTTAGCAGTCAAGTGTTTTAGCCACCGCAGGCCAGGGCTCCTTAGCTTATAGAAAGGGGACTATTTCTTTAAATTGAACCTTGTAGAATATGTAGTATTTTAACTGATAATTTATGATGACTAATACATTAACAGCTATTAAAGTCTTTAGTATGTAAATGACAGTGATAAAGTATATTCTCTGGATTGAGGTAAAGAGAGTTACATGAGCAAAAAGTATTTAAATACTAGTGAAGCTGGAGTACACAATATGTGCACAAGAAAGGAGCACAGAAGAGATGGATAAAAACAAATATTTATCTCAACATTTAGTCTCAAATGTTGGCCTAAGAGTCTTTAAATGACGGAGAATACAGAAATTAATAGGACTGTACTTTAGAACTACTTCCCTGAAATGATGTTAAGAGACAAGGAAAATCTGTATAGGTGTATTACAATAACTGATGTAGATGCCTAGAAAGTGTAGGTAGTGGAAAGGAAAATATGTAAAAATATACAGGTACTATTGCCAAAACTTGGTAACTGAGGGACTACATTGGGACAAGAAAAGGGAGCTGTGGAAGGTAATCCAATTCTGAGAAAATGGTAGTAATAACTTAGAATTTAGGACTAGGTAAACAATTCTAACCATGTTCCTTGAAGCAATAGGAAAGCATTTAATAGGTTCAGAAGAAAGTCAAATTTAGGCATAAACTTGAAGGTTACTTTTTATAGTGATTGAAAGAGATTCTAATGTTAATTAAGTGAATTAAAACTGAGTTTTAAATTTTTTCCTATTTTACAATTTTTAAAAAAATGAAATGTTTTCCTATTTTCCTAAATCTTTTGGCCATAAGAGTTAAACCTAAATAAAATTTTCTAACAAAAAACTTAAATGAACCAATCATAATTCTTTTATTACAATAAATTTATACCTAATATTACTTAATTGCCCAGTGGGTGAGGCTTCGCAAACTCTTGAATGACTAATTTTACTGAGTTGTACTTTATTTGAAGACACCTCACAGTAACAATTTTACTAATCATAGTTGTAATTTAATAAACCTAAGTGTCCATTACATCAAACCATTTACAGTGAAATTTTGTTTATAATATTATCAGACTTAATTTGATAAGGAAAACTGAATGTAGGCACATACTAATTTTTTTTTTAACTTTACACTGTTGATTTTGTACTGTGTACCAAAAAGTTTGCACCGATCCACAGCTGAGCCTCCAGGTTTTCATGGGCAATTAATTGCAATTAATCTTTTTCCCACAAAGCTGCTGGTGGATTTGCACTGCCTTTACAACTGCAGTGAAGATTCTTACCACTAGGCTACCAGAGTTCCCCTACCAGATACCATTTTTCTTAATATCTAAGAATTTTAGTGAATTCTCAAACAGACCAAAACGATCACAACAAGAAATGAAATGAAACAGTAATGTAATAAACAGATTCTACTATTTTATACTCCCTATTGCACTGACGACACATGTTATGTTGGACTACTAACTCAAAGATGAGCAATTCAAATTCACCAACTGCTCCTCTGGAGAAAGATGAAGCAGTCTTAAGATTTTTAATCTCAGAAAAGTGACAGAGGGTCACCAGGCGTCAGAACCAAGAGCAGTGGATTTCCCTCCCCACCCTGCTTCAGGCTAGAGGCATCATCCTGACTGGGTAATGAAGGCAACTGGAGTAGCCAGATCATTCCCATAAGCAGAAACACACTATAAATAGTCCACAGTGTAGAAAACTGAGAGGATTATGGGCACTTCATAAACATTTAGTAAATAATGGCCTAAACACTGATGGATTTAAGGGCCCAAACTATTTTGAATATCACCTTTTGTATTTTCTGCCTTAAAGTCTTACTTTTTGCCAGCAGTATCTTTAATGGGGTATTCAAAAGTATTAAAGAGCCTTTAAAAACGATTACAGCTACTTTATTTGAATAGAGTTTTCTAAACAGACATTTGCAACTTAACTGTCAGTGGAGGAACTCAAAACTGTCTCATTTTTCAACAGATCCACCAAGTGTTTTTAACATGCCCGAAGCAGATTTAAAAAGAATTTTTTGGGTGCTATCCCTTCCTATTATTACATTACTTTTTCTAACCACACCAGATTGCAGAAGAAAATTCTGGAAGAACTATTTTGTGATAACATTTTTTATGTCTGCACTATGGATATCTGCATTTACATACATCCTAGTTTGGATGGTCACAATAACTGGTATGTATCGTAAATACAATAAATAATTTTCTAAAAGCCCTATTTCATAGAAGAAAAACTGCCTATATTCATGGGAAGTTAGTTACACAGGGAGCAATGTTCTTTCAGTAAAGTAAAACATTATTTCTATAAAGAACAATTATTAACACAACAGCAAGATAATTCACTGTGTTTCACAGTGTTGCTATTACATAGCCCAAGGATACAAATCATAAATGAAACCTCATCCACATAAAGTCTTCTATTGAGCCAATGATGAAATTACATTAGACAAGTTTCAAATAAATTCTCAGTATGCTTCATCTGTTCTATAGTGTAGCTAAGAGCTAGTGTTTTTAGAAAATGCTAAGTCCTCATTAGTTAACTGGATTATACTTTGCTCTTGTATGGCAATGCAAGATACTATGAAATAAGAATGAAAGAGTAAGAAACTGTCATTCTAGTTTTCTACTACCTTTATGATTTAGTTATTATTGCTTGGCCATAATCAACTCATGAACTTAAAAAGAAAATGCATTATAAACACCTGTACATACATACAAAAATAAGGCATTTCTACCAAAGGTACCTAGAATTAAACTGTTTTAGCAGGCTTCAGCAAATTTCAATTTATGTACCAAAACTAACCACCACTGGTTTGTGTAATTCAAGTTTTACCAAACACATTCATATCTACTGATTTACATATTACCTAAGGTGGCTTTCACAAGCTAACCTAAAACCAATCTGCCAATCATCCATTGGATTTTCAAGGCTATACTTTTTTACAGGAGGAGACTATCCACCTTTTCCCTACAGATCACTGTAAAGAATTAAACTGCCAACTTTTCTGTTTGCAGCATGTTGTGTCCTAGAGTGAGAGCTGACTCCTGACCCTCCAGTGAATTTTCAGAGGCTTTTAAATCACAGGGGTGACTGTCCATCTTTCTCCCACAGAGCAGAGATGGTGGACTTGAACTGTCTTTTACTGATCTGGCAGCACAACTCCTTACCCGCTAGGGACACCAGCGTTCCCTATTAGGAGGCTAGTACTGAGGAATTGTCACAGATGCTAAGAGGCCTGCAAAGCCTAAGTAACTGCTACCAGGCTCTTCCATATTTTCTATCTCCTCTAAAATGTTGATCCCTTATATGAAGCCTTCTCCAGATTTAATATAGAAGACTTAGGCTACAAAAAAGTGGAATGCTTTTTCTTAATGATAAGTTTTCAAAAATCTGAAAAACCTCCAACTAGCTTAAGTATTAAATCTCTTCTATTTTCTCAGCCAGAAATACACTTGACATTAGGAATATGGAAAATAAGGAGTAAAAATCAAATAACAGAGCATAGGATCCCCAAGATGTTATTTATGTACATATACATTCTGACAAAGCCAGTAACAAAACTGAACAAACAGTATCAATACACAGGCATGAAACAGCTAATATGCTAGTCTTCCAATTAAATTTTAACCGAAAGAGACAGATTAAACAATTTCTAAAGTTTTAAATTACATTAAAAGAATAGTTACATTTACTTTTTTTTAAAAAAAGTCCCTGATTCAATTTCCCAAAATACATTTCTGAAAATGTTGAACTGGCATCAAATGTAACAGAGTATTTATAAATTGGGACCATATGTTAAAAAGACAAAAGTATATGATTTTTCCAAACACTAAACTAAGAGAAACTATTAGGATTTTTTTAAAAGCGTATCAATGAACTAAGTAAGGTGTGAGAAGAAATAATCAGATGTGAATAAAGCAAAAAGTCACTATAGAGAGTAAAGAAAAGACCAAAGCAGGTATCAGAAAAGACTCAAACTTGCTCTTGACCTTAACGTAAATAGAAGGAATGATGAAGTAAAACAGTTCAAAGGAAAATTTCAAAGGACAACTCAAGATGACAAAATATTACAAGGAAATGTCCAAATATCTGTCATTATAAACCAAAAAAGAAGAAAATGCTTGACTTTTTTGAGTTAAAGAAAAAAACTGAAGTCTTGAGTTGCAATGCAGAGGGCATGAAATAAAGAAGGAATATTACTTACCTGTGGAATTTACTAGAAAGCTCTCCTTTTCAGGAGGTAGCATGCATATAATGGTATCCAAAGGAGATATTCAAGCTGCATTGAGGCATTGGCAAAAGGCAAAGCTATAAACTGACAGAATACCAACTGAAATACTTCAACAAAGGTGTACTCCCTAGAAGACAGTTATCTTGCCAAGCAACTAGAAGAAAGGTAACACAATAGTCAAAAGGAAAGGTGATATAGTAAGCTGTAGAAATTCTAGAACATGATCATATGTATCACCCATAATTTTAAAGATAACCTTTTAAAGGGTCCTATCAGCCCAACTATGTTAAACTGCCAGAAAACAAAGTCTGTAGAAACAGGGATGACAAAGGAATTTTTAATTAAACATTAAGAGGAAGATGTTTTTCTCTGCTTTATCAATTACATAATGGCATTCAAATATGCAAACACAGAAATTATGGATAACTCTGGAAAGAATGGGAAATCACGCTGGAACTTGAAGTTAGCCCAGGAGACAGCTGTTCTAAAAAAAGACACTGCATAGTTCAAAATCAGAAAAGCTGTGTCAAGACAGTATCCTTTCCACTTTACCTAATCAATCTGTATAAACAAGTAATTTAAGAAGCTGAAATATATGAAAATAATGTGGCATCAGGATTAGAGGATTCATTCATAATCTGTGATAAACAGATTAATACAACCATAACTGCTGAAAAGGAAAGACTTGAAAACACTTATTGATGAAGATCAAAGACTACAGCTTTCAGTAGATTTTTATCGTGGTATAAGGAAAAGAAAAATTCTCATAACTAGACCAAAAAACATCACGATAAAAAGAGAAAATATCAGAGCTAACAAGGATGTCTCTTAACTTGCATCCACAATCAACACCCTTGTAAGGAGCAATCAAGAACTCAAACACCAAAAAAGAAGTCAACCTTTCATTGGACCAATCTGCTTAAAAACTTTTTAAAAAGCCAAGACTTTGAGGACTAAGATGTGCTAGATTCAAACCACAAAATTTTTAATTATCTAATATGCAAGTGAATGCTGGACAATAAAAAACACACACAGATAAAGAATTTATGAGTTTGAATTATGGTGTTGACAAATACTACTAAATATTGTATGGGTTTCCAAACAAATCACAGATAAAAGTACCGCCCACAGTAGTCCTTGGAATTGAGTATGGCAGACTTGTCTCATACATTGGACATGTTACCAGAAAGGACCAGTTCCTGAAGAGGACATCAATGCTTTAAAAAACAAAAAGACCCTCAACAAAATCAACTAACACAGTGGCTACAACAATGAGGTTAAGCAAAGCAACAAGTGCAATAGCGTAAGATCAAGCAGTGCTATACACGAGGTTGCCATGAAAGGAGAGACTCAATGACTTCTAACAACATGTCATGTTAACAGAGTCTGACTTTAGGTATAATTTATCACTGACAATTCCAAGGAAAAATTTTTAAAAAGTAGTCATGTATGAAACAACAGAATGAAGAATTGTGTAAAAGCAATGTATACAAACTTTGTTAAGCAAACCAATTTAAAAAAAAGTAGTCAATGAATATATGAAACAATGGCCCTCATGGGGTAACATGGAACTCACACCTCTATCTCTTTGTTATTAGTTGTTTGTGTATGTGTACCTTTCAGATGATTCTAACTCATATGGGATGGCAGAGGGATTACGGATAAAATTTCAACTACTAAGTATCTTTAGACATCTATCACAAATCTATGCTGAGTGGTACAACATACTAACCTTGTACGGAAATTTTGCTAGCTAAAATGCTGCACTGGTTCTTAAATATGTATGTGCTTATTTTCTTTTTATTGAGGTATAAAATATCTATAGAGAATGGTTAATGAATAGGTGATATTGGTAACTTAGAATATTGTATGTCTTACAGGGGAAACACTGGAAATTCCAGATACAGTAATGGGCCTTACTTTATTAGCAGCAGGAACAAGCATACCAGACACAATTGCAAGTGTGTTAGTTGCAAGAAAAGGTAAGTGTGTGTCTGAAAACACAACAGAAATTTGTAAAGCCTAGATGAAATGTAATAAGCAAAAGTACTTCAAAAAGATTTTTCTAAATCTTTTCTAAATCTACTTGGGGGGGGGAACCCCCACAAAACTCAAGAATTTATTTAATAGATTAATTTCACTAAATTTGACCCTCCCAAATACTACTCCTCTGAAACTTGCAGTAAATCTAAATGAACCATGTTAAAATAAAAAACCAAGTAATCTATGTACCTTATGAAAAAAAGATTTAATAAATAATCAGATAAATAAATGTTAAGACTTTAAATACTACCCAAAAAAGAATTTAAAAATACAAATTCAGTAAGATTTCTGCACTAATACAACAATTTTCCAAAGTTTCTGTTACAACAAACAAAAAAATGTATCCAGTGTTTTTTACTAATGACAGCATTAGTACGTAGATTTTTAAAACATGCTTTTCTCTTGCAGGTAAAGGAGATATGGCAATGTCTAACATTGTGGGATCCAATGTGTTTGATATGTTATGCCTAGGTGTTCCTTGGTTTATTAAAACTGCATTTATAAACACGTCAGCTCCTGTAGAAGTAAACAGCAGAGGACTCACTTATATAACCATCTTTCTTAACATTTCAATTATTTTTCTTTTGTTAGCAGTTCATGTCAATGGATGGAAACTAGATAGAAAATTGGGAGTAGTATGCTTAATATTATACCTAGGACTTGCTACACTATCAGTTCTGTATGAACTTGGTATTATTGGAAATAATAAAATACAGGGCTGTGGAGGTTGATGATACCAATAGCATTATGTGGAAATGTGAATAATGGAGAGGGGGTATAAGGGAAAAAGCCAAGTCAGTCCAATAAAAACATCCTGAACTTCAGGACCTAAAACTTATTACAGCATTTTTTTTTTAATCACAAAAGAAAGGCAACTTAAAATCAACCAAAATCATACACTAGTTTGCCTGAGCCTTTTCAACTACATACACATAAAACTGAAGTTTACAAGGGAAAACTATTTTATCTTACAATAAGTTGATAAAAGTTAGGGAAACTTGAAGATATTAAGTTCACTAGATAGTACTGAAAATAACAAAAAAATGGCTTCTTTGATTAAAAACTATATAACCATTCATTTAAACTGAATGACCAGGCTCTCTGTCCTTAGAAACCCAAACTTGAGATTAACAAAAAGCATAGTATATTTTTAACCCTATACTGTTAAAAGCTGGTGGGAATTTTTAAAGTTCATTTTTACAGCTTTTGTAAGCATACAGTATTCCTTTTAAAAATGACTTTTACTAGGAGATTCAGCAAAACAGATATAGGAATGTTCTAAAATGGTGGTTTGAAATTATGCATTATGATCTAAGCAAACATCAATTTCTCTGCCACTGATTTTAATGCCATTCATTATTCTGCAAGCTTTTTCAGCTGATTCTGGGGAATCAAATCTGACTGTTCCACAGCCTTTTGACTTCCCATTCTCCATTTTGATTTCTGCAAACATGACATGACCTGTAAAAGAAAAGGAAAAATTAGAGAATTACTATTTGTTTAAACAAACTCCATTTAAATCTGTAATTCCTCATGAATGGCATCTTAAGTAATATGATTAAAGGCATTAACATTAATTACTTTAAGATAATATACTATATAAACATTCTCAATATTTGTATTCTTATAAAGGAATTGATTAAAAGTAGTACTAAAATATTAGAACCTATTAAACAAGTTAAATCAGTGTAGATTTGCTTAAAATTTAATTTAAAAAGTCACTAAATTACCATACTAGAAAAGATATGCAAAAATTTAAGCAAAATTATTATTATTTTTAGAATAAACTGTTGCTGTCTGACATCCTGATTTTCTTCTTGCCTTTCCATTCTTCACACTTCAGCCTTTCAACCTTTCAAATAACAACTTTCTCCAAATCTTTACCAGAGTCCCACTGGTTCCTATTAGTTCTGCTTTTTATGAACAGTACCACAGCACAATTTTAATTCAGTCATACAAAATACTTTATGAAGAGAGTCATGGATGCAAAATCATCAATTTAAATACATAATGTTAAAAGATAATGCAATTAGACAAACCCTCAGAGAATCTTTTAGGACCCCACCCCCACCCCCCGAAAAAAATCAGACAATGGTTCTCTATACAGTTACTATCATGGCTAACTGTAGAGATTAAGATTAGAAGTAAATAAATAATTTCTCAAAATATAAAATGGCCATTAAAATCTACCATCAAAATCAGAACACCTCTGAATACAAGGGGAGATACTATTATTTACACATAAATAATAAATGTGATGAATCCAGACAAACTGATGTCTGATCACACAATTCAATTGGGTCAGAAATATTATATGTCTATACTTACCATAGCATAGGGTCGCTATGAGTCGGAAACGACTCGATGGCACATAACAACAACAACATACTTACCATAATAATACTGTCTCATCTAGACACATATGTCAAAACAATTGAGAATTTTAAATATAGTTGCCCAATCTCTATGGGCTAATTTTAGTCTGGCAATCATATGAGAAAACCAGACATATTTTGCTCTTTGAAGGGAGTAAAACAAAGAAACTGTATCAGTCAGTCAAACAATCATACAACTCTGTTCCAGATAATAGAATCAACAATTATTTCAAAGACCTTAGTCTTTTCCCCCCATTAAGTCATTAAGCATTAACTTCCTGTAATATGTCTCTGCAGCATTGCCATCAAGTCAGAACCAACTTGTAGCTAACCCTAAGCCAGTTTATTGAAGCTATAAATCACACCAGAAGAGCTAGCTCATCTTTCTCCCTCATTGCCACTGGTGCATTCAAACCAGCAGCAAGGAGCAGCCTATCTCCCTACTGATACTACCAGAGCACCTCTTAGCTTATACTGAAATACTTTTGTTTATTCATCCATTTCTCATTGATGCATTTTAAACAAAACAAAAAACTGGCAGTCAATACTTCACCTACTCAATACTAACTAAATGATCAAACATTAATAAATGTTATACTGATCTTTGTAATCTAGGGCCTCACTGTGCTTTATAAGTTCTAAAACAGACTAATCCCTCAGAGAAAGCATATTGTACTCTATGAATGGTTTAACAAAATAAACCCCATAAACAAGTCACATCCTCTAATAAACATAAAACAGTGACATAGCATTAGGCTGAGTGATTTAACTCAGAATCATAAGGACAAATACTGCATAAAAGTATTATTATAAAAACAGAAGAAGAAAGATGTGTATGGATTTCCAAAGAGGGAAGGAGAGGGGATTGGGGGGGGGGGCGGGCGAGGGTGAAGGAAATCATGGGAACACAGTGTGGCGGGCATAGGGAGGTAAAGGAATTAGGAAAGATCCAGTGGGGACTCAAAAAGATGGAGTTAATAGTGAACACAGATCAATGGTGATTAATTTCATAAGCCACAATACACAAGAGAGGAAAAAACCCCAACCTCAAGCAACTTCTTGAATTCTGTTATTTGGGAGGGAGCTTAATTTTACAAAGTATATCTTTGTAAATGTCCACTCTATAAAGAAATTCTGTAAAGGACTGCGGAGAAATTGCTAACCTTAAAAAGAATCAATGGTGTTTACTTATCTTACCTCAAAATTTAGCATTGTTCTTAACATAAATATCTATCTTACCATAGACTTTTAACATCCATAAGACTCACTGAAGCATTTAAAGAGAAATACTGTCTCCCATATCTTCCTTTTTCCTCAAAATCTTTCAGGACAAGTTGGGTTTTTTCCCAGCTGTCTAACTTTGGTAAGAATGTAATAAAAAAAGTCCAAAGATTTTTCTTTTTTGGTTTTCATACTTTCTTTTCATTGTTGCACATTTTCCTCCCTGCCTCCAAAAAAGTCCCATGATTTTAAAAGATAATTTAAAAATAAAATCTCCACTAACTATTGAGTGATAAAAAAGGGATATGAAAATATGACTTAAAGAATAAAAATTTAATCAATTTTGTTTTTCTATGTATAAGATACGATAAATTTTTTTTTAAGTAGATTTGAATAGTATTTTTCCCCCCTCCTTTCAGAAAATGCCTCTCAATTGCTGATGCTTGTTTGGCAAAGATATGACACTCCAATCAGAGCCTATCAAAAGTCTACATCAACTAAGCACTGTTCTGTTATTATTCTTTATTGGCCCTGTTTTGCTCTTTAAAGTGTCACTCCTGCCTTTTAACATAGTATCATATCTTCTTGGATATCTTTTATACATTGATGCTAAACAATGACTATAAATTATTTATCAGATGATAAAGATTTGTAGCCACTGATCCTCACTTGATTTTCCTAAGGCCCTATTATATGTTCATTCTGTTGTAATCTATGGAGACTCATGATCAGATGCTGGAAACTCATCTTGGTTGCTCTGACCCCTTCAAAGACTCTTCTCCACTCCCCCTGTTGTCAAGCAGATTCTGACTCAGCAACTCAACAGAGATGCTATTTATTAGCTGAATGGTTTTCAACTACTTTTTAAATCCAAAACACTATTTACCTTCTCTGAAATTTAGATTACTGCAAAATACAAGAGTGGTCAGTAAGAAATCCTAAAGTTTCACGCTAAATTCTTTTACAGCTGAGACAGTTATCAACTTTGCTCTTCATAATAATAATCCTAGTGCCTAGTACACTGCCAAATAGCTAATATCTGTACGTTAAGTGGACAAATTACCAATAACTGGATAATTAAAGAGCTCAGAATGCCTAATGCACTCCAACACAGTCTTAGAACACGTACAGCGGCAACTAAAGGTACTAGTATAAAAATATGACAGTGCTTATTAACTTCAATCTAGGAGGGAAGAAAATATGAGCAAGTAATTATTACAGTATAATAAAAGCTGCAAGGATTAGCATAAAGTACTTTGAGAACCTGTTAGAAGTTACAAAGACTAAATTAAAATATTCCAAACCTTTTCCATTAATTCTAGAAGATTAGATGCACCACTTTTAGAGCTTTTCACTACTATATGCCATCTGAAAGATCTAATGGCAGAGAAATAGCAAAAGGAACTGTTAATTTGTACCACCCACATTATTTCTTCTCATCATTACCATTGCTTTATGCACCCTTAACGTCTAAAAACGATTCAGATCTTCATTTTTAACCAAAAATATATTATTTATCCAAGTTGGTTTTGCTGCTAAACAGTTTAACAAGATACTTTAACATTATATAGCATTTTGTAGCAAAAATAACTTTGGTAAATGAAAAGTCTCTTTTTTAAAGTAATAAATCACCAATAATATATTAAAGAAATTTTTTAAAAAGTTTAACAGACTGTATCTATGCTGAAGGCACTCCTAAAGCTGTCTCTATGCTACCAGGTAAGTTTATACAGAATTAGTCTTGTTTATTCACTATGTAACTTGAGTGTTAGTATCATAATGAATTATGGTGATACTGCTTTGCACTACAGCATAAATTAGGAAATATACCACTCATTAACATTAACCATGAAAATACCCTTTTTTAAATGTGAACAATGACATATTAACTTGTAAATTATAAAAGAGCCCTTTCTTTATACCACAAGAGATAATCACAAGTTCTACTATAAACCTTCTTATTTTAGTTTGCACATCAAAAGATAGCAAAACAATTCAATGATTTAAAGTGAAATTCAGCCTGGTGCACTAGACTAACTAGATATTTAGTAACTATCTAAATTGTGTTAAAATTATAAAATAATAAAACCAACTTTTCCATAAACTTATCTTCCATAACTTTAAGTTATTGGCATACTTACCACATTGACTGAATTTCTCTTTTAGTTTCTGCCAAGTCAAGTCAAAAGGCAGCTAAAATAAAAAGAAGTTATTAGTAACAAAGTTAAAAATGGGGGGGGGGGGAACTTTAAGAATCCTTGACGTTTTTTACTTACGTTTCTGACAAATATCTGGTTGCCTTTGGAACCTATTCTGTCTCTCATTCCACTTCCCATTGGACCTGATAAAAATCCTCGATCCATATCGATGCTCCTTTCCAGTACAGCTCCTATTCCTGGTCCCATTCTGTCAAAGCTGGAACTCATTCGGTCCAGTCCCATCCCGATTCCTCCAGTCATGCTGTTCATGCCACCCATTCCACCACCTGGATTTCCAAAGGAGGAGGAGGATTTGGGAATTTGGATTTTGTTTCAAAAAAGAAAAAAGACAAAGGAGAGAATTATTTCCACAAAAGGGGAAAAAAATTGCGTTATGAAGAATACATAAAATTATTTGGTATAGATGATAAAATTAATTTTCCGGGGAGCATATTTTTAAACTAGTAAATTTTTTGTTTAGTTAAGAAATCCTAATTCTAGGCACATATAAATATTTCATAATTACACACCAACAAAAAATTATGCAGGGTGCTGGGAGAGTGTAAAAAAGGAAGACCCAGGATAGATAGATTGACACAGCGTCTACAAATGAAACATCTAGAAATTAGCATTATCCTTCAATTGGCTTCCTATGAATAATAAGTAGGAAACTAGAAAAACCTAAGATGCTAAAGTGAAAGGAAGAGGTAGAAATCAACCTTTGCCATCAACTCATTTTCAACTTACAGCAACTCTATAGAACAGAAGTGACCTGGCTCATAATTTTTAAGGCTATCTATCTTTAAAGAAGCAGACTGTGAATCTTTCTACTGCAGAGCAGCCAGTGGATTTGAAACTCTGGCCTTTCATGAGCAGCCAAGTATTTTAAATGATTGTGCCATCAGGACTCCCAAGATAAGTATAATAAAATGAGAAGCATGATACATATCTTCATGTATTTCAGCTAACAGGATTTTAAAATTCACTCTGTAAGTGATTTTAGTTCATTTAAAATTCACTACATGAAGCTTCATCAGTTAACAAGTCAATAAAAGACAGGGCCCACCCACCGTGATATGGCTTAGTATACAACATTCCCTAAAACAACAAAAATCCCCATCAACTTCGGAGTCAATTCTGACTCATCACAACCTGCTAAGATGTAAAACTGTCCCATAGTTTCAAAAGCTGTTAATCTTTACATAAGGGGCCTGTCACATCTTTTTATCACAGAATGGCTAAAACTTCGAACTCACTTGTTGGTTCCAACTCAGCAATCCTCTATTGGGTGTGAAGCTATAAATTCCCAAATGAAGAGACTACCTTGGAGATCCACAGAGGTTGGATTAGCAATGCAACTCATAAGTAGCCAAGAGCTTTAACCAGTATACTACCTGGACTCCCCAAGTAAGGTCAAAAATTAAACTGTGTTAAAACTTGGGGAATATAAATCTAAAATGTGTCAGGAGAAAGGATAAAAATACAGCAGTCTCTAGTGCTGTGACTACTCAATCCTGTAAGGAAAAAGAAGCACCTCTCTGAATCTCAGTACTCATCTTTAGGTATCTGAAAGTGTTTTATTTGGGGCAATTAACTAAGTCTTTAAAAAAACCACAAGCTGTTCACAGAGAAAATCGGCTACTCCTAATAGTAACCGAAACAAAGTAAGTAAACAAAGTTGGTACTAGATTTGTGACACATGATCAGAGAAATGTCCAAACTACTTAGTTTGGAAGGCTCTTAGATTGATTAAAAGCTAATACATACTCAGGTGTTAATTTATAAATGTCAAATAGGTAAAATTTTATTTAGAAAAACAGAAAGCATATAGGTTTAGTTCAAAAGCTGCTATGCTGTCATTAGGGTGCCATCAAATCGAGCACGACTCATAGCGACTCTATGAAAAAAGATCTGAACCCTGCTCTATACTGTGTTGTGCCATTCTCACACTTACTGAAACCCAAGAGCCCACTGAAGCAGTCACCGTATCAATCCAACTGGTGAAGGGTCTTCTTCACTGACGCTCTACCTTTCCTAGCATCATGCCCTTCTCCAAGGATAGCCTCTCTCCTAGCAACATGCCCAAAGGATGTGAGGCAAAGCCTCATCATTCTTGACTCCAAAGAGCACTCTGGCTTCAATCTCTCCAGAGCACATCTGTTTATTCTCTTGGCCATCTATGTGATGTTGAACGCTCTTCCGCAATACCACTACTCAAAGATGTCCATTCTTTTTGTCATCTTTATTCATCTTCCAGCTCTCAGATGCATAGCAAGTGACTGGAAAAAGTAGAGCCTGAATCAGACACACCTTAGTCCTCAATAATTTGGAGTGGTCTCTAATAGCAAATTTTCCCCAGTGCAATGCTTCTCCCTATTTCCTGACTGCTGGTACCAAGAGTGTTAACTGTGGCTTCAAGCAAGATGAAGCTGTTGATAGTTTCAATCACTTCTCCATCCATCAAGACACTGCCTATCAGTCCAGTGGTGAGAATCTTTTTTCTTCACATTGCTATACAATCCATATTGAAGGCTGCACTCCTTGTCCTTGAGAATAGGTTTGAGGTATCCACCACATCAGACCCACGGAGTGAGCTCCCTTGTTAAAATTTAAAGGAAAAAAAAAAAAGAATAGGTTTGAGGTATTGAACACCAATGGTCAAAGACCAGATGAGTTGTGGAACGCTATCAAGGATATCATCTATGAAGAAAGCAAAAGGTCATCAGAAACATAGAGTAAGAAAAAATATAAATAGCTTTCAGAAGAGACTCTTAAGGATTGTACAGGAACATAAAGAAGTCAAAACAAAAAGAAAACATGTCGAAGTAAAAGAGCTGAAAAGATTTCAAAGGGCAGCTTGGGGACAAAGCAAAGTATTAGAATGAGATGCTAGAAGTGGAGAGTAAAAAGGAAAGAACTTGCTCTCCATTTCTCAAGCTGAGAGAACTGAAAAACAAGTTTAAGCCTTGTGTCACAATACTGAAAGATGCTATAAGGCAATATATTGGATAACCCAGAAAGTATCAAAAGATGATGGAGGGGATACACGAAATCACTGTTATCAGAAAAAACTGATAATGAAAAATTTCATGATGTACCATGTATACAAACAGGAGCCAATGGTAGTGAAGGAGGAAGTAGAAGCTGCATTGGAAGCACTGGAAAATATAAGATCCCAGGAATTGATGGGATCCCAACTGACTTGTTTCAATACAAAGATGCAGCTTTGGATGCATTCACCAGTCTACACTAGGAAATTTAGAGGACAGCTGTCTGGCCAATGGTTTGGACGAGGTTCCTCTTTCTTCCCATTCCCAAGAATGTTGATCCAACAGAGTATGGAAACTATTGGACAAATATCACATGCAAGCAAAATACTGCTGCAGCTCATTCAAAAAAGCTAGTACAGCACATAGATAGGAAACTGCCTACAAGTTCAAGCAGGATTTAGAAGAGGCAGTGGCACCAGGGATATCACTCTGATGGCAGATGAATCCTGGTTGAAAGTAACAAATACCAGAAGAATGTCTACTTGTGCTTTATTGATTATACAAAGGCATTTGACTGGGTGGATCATAACAAGCTGAGAAGAATGGGAATTCCAGAGCACTTAATTGCGTTAATGTGGAACCTGTATGTGGACCAGAAGGTTGTTGTAGTATGAAAAAAGCAGGGGAACACCGCATGGATTAAAATTGAGAAGGGAGTTCGTCAAGCTTGTATTCTTTCTCCATACCTAGTCTATCTGTATGCTGAACAATTATCTGAGAAGTTGGATTCTATGAAGAGGAGTGTGGCATCATTATTGGAAAAGTGACTAATCAATAACCTGCATTATGTAGATGACAACCCTGCTTGCTGAAAGTGAGGATGATCTGAAGCACTTGTTGCAGAAGATCAAAAGCTGCTATAGCATCTCTAAATTACAGCAAGATCTACTAACAGATAAGAAGCAAATATTGTTATAAAATAACTACTGTTTAAAAACTTTTTGCAAGCACTCGTATGTTGTTGTTGTTAAGTACCCTCAAGTCGCTGTCGACTCATAGCGACCCTATGAATTAAAGTCCTCAACACCTCAGTGACTTTCATCCTTTCTCCAGGTTCATAGGGTTTGCGGAGGCAAGCTATTTACGGAAGTGGATGCCACTCCTGCTTCCAAGCTTGTTTTAACTAAGGAGCACCACCAAACACTGTCCACCATGGGTAACCATTATTGCATTTGACACGTCAGTGTCACAGTGTTCAACTTCACAGTGAACACAAGTTACCTCTGTACGGCAAGTGGACACCCCAGGGCTATATTTCCTAGAAGAGTGTTTCACTAAAAACAATTAAAGACAGGGCTTAGGGCCGCAGATTAGAGTCACCCACCTGTGGCTTGGTAGCATCGCTTTCGGTCCACTAGGCCAATTGGTCTCTATGAAGCACTCATATAGTATTGAGTAAATTCTAGTAAAACTTTAACCTACTATTTCATACCCAACCCTAAATGCTTCAGTTACAGTTATCAATCCATCTCATCTGGGTCTTTCTCTTCTGGCTCAGGAAAGGGCAGGCTTCAGAGCAGCTAAATGTAGGGTTGCTAAGAGTTGCAGGCAACTCAATAGTACATAAAAACAGCAGCAACATTCTATACCCCACAGGACTCATGTTAGAAGCTCCGATTCTTCCTGAAACCCCTCAAATCGCTGGACTACTTAAACATACTAATTTAAATAATTTAGCTTTAAAATTCCCAACTACGCTCTCAGAAGATTTAAAGTAAATGGTAAGTATGAAGTTGTATGGAAAAAGGTTTAGTTAATTAAAATCTCTGATATGTTTATCAGGTTAATTGTATGAACATTACAAATCTCTAATTTTTACAAAAAAAAAACCCAGAAAAACAAATTCTGAATAATAAAACAAGCAAAAAAAGAAAAGAAGTATGCAGCCCTACCAAGTCTACCAAAGGAATCTCCAAAACCTCGGTTTATTCCAATATCACCACGTCCAAAGTCTCTCTCCATGCTAGTAGTCACTGCACCACGGTATAGCTCTGAAAAGATCGTATAACAAATTAAGGCTTTTCAAGTGAATCAATACATAGTAACCCATTTATGAGTACATCTAAACAAAACTGAAGATAAATGTAACTAAAAAAACTTTTAACTTATCCTGTATCCCTATCCATGTCAGCTCATTCCTGCCATGGTATGACTACCTCTAAAGTGCTCATAGGCCCTCAGAAAACCTCTCCAGCACACATTCCCAAGTGGAGCATGAGAGGTTTTAGTAACAGAGTAAACGAAATAGAACATAACCATGCCTTACATACATTTACTTACCTCCCATTCGGCCAACTCCTCCAAATCCTCCCATGCTATTCATTGCTTCCAGTCCACCAAATCCAATTCCTATGGAATAAAGAGCAACAGTGAGATCTGTCAGTTGTACAAAGATACATTTGGTGAATGTAAGTCTCATGAGTACGTTTTGCATCCACTTGTACTTTGTGCAACTACATCTTACCATCTTATATTTCCCTAAGTATTCATTAGACTCATTTGCTGCTAGTACTTTTTAAGAAGCAAATGTGATTGGCATAGTATAGAGCAGGGCTTAGGGCTGTTGTATATAGTCGCAAGCGACTCACCAGCACATATCAACAACAAAATTAACAAATGATGCCTTTTTCCCCCTAGCCTAACAATTTGTGATAAGCACATACAATATACTGTGTGTACTCATATAGAACCTCTTCCAATTAATTCGTCATTCTTCCAAAACCTGGTCCAACCATTCTCCTATCTCAAATAAAACATACAGTATGTACTTTAAGTATATTTTATGTTCATAACTAAACAATGACTTGATATTCAGTTTGACAAAACAGATAAACAGAGATCATTAGTCTAAGCAAGATATGAGGTACAGGAGGGAAGGTTTATTTAAAGTGCTATGCCATGGTAGTGGTCAATCTTAAGTCTTCAAAATAACAGCCTCTTTGAGCACTAATTAGACAAGAAAGCCAAATACACTGGCTACTCAGTATTTTAAGACTACGGAAGCACAGATAATCTTTTTTTCTTCTCATAAAAACATGGATAGCAGACACAGAAGTCTCACTAAAGCAGAGTTAGAAATTAGGACAGAAAAAAGGAGTCGCCTAAATATTAAAAGCTAAATAAGCAGTTTTAAAAACTGAAAGAATAGAAATAGTACATGTTGGGAGCCTGACAGTCTTATTGTATACCATCCAGTCAGAACCGACCCACAGCTGGGTTTTCAGAGGCAGTAAATCACACAGGAAAAGACTGCCCATCTTTCTCCTGAGGAGCAGGTGGTGGATTTTAACTGTGTGCCTTTGGTATTGCGGTATTTTCTTTACTACTAGGCCACCAGAGTTCTGTCGGCCTTAAGGTGAAGAAAAAAAAAAAAAATCATCTGTTCTGAATCAGAAAGATTGCCAGAACTACCCTCATAAAGTGTAGCTATAGCATCTAAACAAAGTTTGATAGCATTTACTAGTTTATCACTTTAAACAGGCTTTTTTCTCTACGTGTGGTCTGGGAAATTTCAAGAGTTCAATAGGTCCAATTTATTTTTGCATCAGAAGTGAGAATATTAGTTTTATTCTTAGTCTCTCAGGAGTAGAAGGGGGATTTTTCAGACTACATGATATATAAATACAACACACAGAAGCAGCTATGTTAACAGAGCTGTCTCGTATTAAGCAAACATTTAAATAGATTCATAAAATAATGCCTCTCTAATATTATTGTTGCGAAAATTAATAAACTTACAATGGGTTAATTAACCTTTTCAAAGAATGTAAATAGTTTTAAGTAACAGTTTTCTTTTTCAGTACAATAAATATTGATAAATTTTTCATCATAAACAAAAGCACTTAGGGAACTCAACAAATTTTAGAAGTGCAGTAGGTTCAAATTAATTCAAGTCAGTGGCTCAATGAATACCTGAAAATTTAGCTTCATTATGAAATATGTAAATCTAAACTACCTTTGATACGGTAGCTCTAGAGGCCTAGTGTTAAAAAGCTGCATTATGATCCTAAAGGCACCTAGTTCAAATTCACCAGCTGCATAGTGGGAGCAAGATGGGCAATCTCCTCTATGTGATTTACTGGCTCTGAAAACCTGCTGGAAAGGCAGCTATGGGTTAGTTTCAAATCGACAACACACAACAACTGAAATGGTAGCATTTCAGTCGCTTCATTATATATATCTAGGACGGACAATGCACTATGCTGCACATCCTCTCTTTGCCTTAAAGACATTTCATAATCTCTAGTTGCTCTGGATAAAGCAAACACTCCCCTGCAATTTAGTACCTCTAAACAGCCACTGGAAGACCGGCTATGAGTAATCTACCGAATGGCTGGATCATCACTCACACATTTTCCAGTCAGCTACATTCTCTTTTTTCAGACTGAAGTGGCATCCTAAACATCTAACTATAAAATAAATTTCATTTAATACAACCTTTTTATTTAATTTAAAATATAAACATATAAAATAAGACTCCTAGGATTGCTGCTGTTGAGCACCCTCGAGTTGGAACTGACCCATAGCTAACACTCCAGTGGATATTTAGGGGCAGTTAATCACATGGGAGGAGACTGTCCATCCTTCAGTGATGTCAAACCATGTGCCTTAGGGACTACAGTGCAGGTACTTACCATTAGACCACCAAAGCTCCCTATAAATAGTATTACAAACCTGTAAATATGTACATTTTCTTATCTAACAAATGTACTATTTAAAAAGAAGACAAAAGTCAGCCTACTTACCACTTGGACCTAAATTTCCCATTACACCACCTATGTTCAACTGACTGGCACTAATAGGTTGTCCACCTGGACCAAGTCCCATTCCAATGCCTCCAAGACCACCTAAAACACATGCAAAATCATCAGTAAGACTATATATATAGAGCACCACTATGGTGGAGTCTGTCAGAGGTTTCGCTGCTAATGCAAAGGATGCACGTCAACAACCGCTCAAAACCATCAGTTCTGAAATAAATTTCCTCTCACGCAATGTATAGTCCCAGAAATCCATGCAAGGATGATCTAGGAGTTGGTTTCAATGCAATGGCAATGAACTCAGACACAAATACAGAGGTATATATACAGATACAGACACACACACATAAAAAAATAAATTTATGATGCACTAAGAGGTAAAACAAAAACAAAATACCAATGTTTTATCTTTTGTAAACTTAGAACAATCACAGGTTCTCATTTAATTGAAAAACAAAAAACTGAAAACCTAAATTAGTGAAGACTATTAACATTACTTATTAAAATGAGAATTGTTTTGGGTTTGTTTAAGATATATAAGTTTTCTGTGCACAACTGGGGTTTAATTTAAATTTTATTTATCAAAACATGCATATTTGTTGTAAGAAAAGTTTCAACGTCAGAAACCACATATATCCTTTATAACCTGGGCTTCATGGATTTACATGTCATCCTTGCCCCAGGGCCATGCTAATCTATCATTCCAATTTTAGTGTATGTGCTGCAGAAGCAAGCACAATGAGAAACTGTTTTACAAAGCAGATACACCTTTTATGCCATTTCCGGGCATAATGAATAGAGTGAATAAAGTTATCAGTGAGTGAAAGAAGTTTAAGTATACTTGATTATCCTACAGACAGTACAAGAATCTCCGTGTGGACCAAACAGTTGAGCACTCAGCTACATATGAAGAGGTTGCTAGTTCAAACTCAGAGGTACCTGAAAAGAAAAGATCTGGGGATCTGCTTCTCTTACAAACCTGATGCAGTACTATTCTGTACACATGTGTTACAAAGAGTCAGAACTTACCCAAGTGACAACCATTATCATCCATGGTACTGTTTTAACAGCTCTAAACCCTGTTCTATACTGTGCCAACCTTATTGTCCCTCACTCACCTACCCATGTAACCCTAGTAACTGAGTCAATCCATCTAATCCAAGGTCATCTTCTCTTGTGTTGTCCCTCCAACCTTCCAAGCATGTCGTCTCTCCCTAAGGACTGGTCCCTTCTTGCACCACGCACAAAGCATGTCTCCTTGCCTCTGAGGAACAGCCCGTTTTCACCCTCTCTAGGATGAACCTGTTTGTTCCTTTAGCAACCCATGGTAAATTCAAAACTCTTTTCCAGCACCATAGCTCAAAGACCTCAATTCTTCTTCTTCTATCACCCCTAGTTATTGTCCAGCTTTATTAAGTAACTGAAAAGACTATGGTTTGGATCAGGTGCACCTTCGTCTCCAGACTAACACTGTTGCTCTTCAGTACTCTGGAGAGATCCCTGACAGCAGACTGTCACAATGCAACATGTCTTTTCACTTTGTGGCTGCCGGTGCCAAGAGTACTGATTGTGGAGCCAAGCAAACTAATGCTGTTAGCAATCTCAATCTCTTTACCATCTATTATGATGCTGTCTGACAAGTGGCCCAGAGGTGAGAATCTTTGTTTTCATGTTGAGCTTCAATCCATACTGAAGGCTGCAGTCCTCAGCCTTCTTCAACAAGTGCTTCAGGTTCTCATCAGTTTTAGCAAGCAAAGCTGTGTCATCTGCATAACATTAGTTGTTGATGAGTCTCCAAACCTGATGCCACTTTCCTCCTCATAGAGCCCAGCCTCCTGGATGAACTGCTCTATATATAGACTGAAAATGGATGGAGATAGGATGCATCCCTTGCGTACACCCCTCACAATTTTGAACCATGCAGTGTTTCCTTCCTCTGTTCTGACAACTACCTCCTGGTCCAAGTATAGGTTTCACATAAGCACAATCAAGTATTCCAGATTCTCATCATTCTTAAGAGTTATCCACAGTATACATATGTAAAAAGAAACCGTGTGTGAAAATATACAAAACATTTAAAATCTTAAGAATTACTTTTAAAATAGTTCAAATCAAACTGAAAAGTCAATACCTAAAGAAACCTAATACTATAAATAAAGCAAATTATCAGTGATGGATAGAGTATGATAGTCCACAGAGTTTATATTGGCTAATTTTCAGGAACAAACTCTGATGGCATAGTGTGTTACATTCTAAACTATTAACTGAACATTGGTTGAAATCCACCAACTATTGCTCGGGAGAAAGATGTGGACAGCCTCCTCTCTTTAATGCTTACATTCTCAAAAAATAAACAGAAGGTTACTGTTAAGTGGGAACCAATTTGATGATGGTGGGTTTTGTCATATTCCTAAGTAGATCACTGAGTCTTCCTAGTTTTAATCTGGATATTCACTGAAGCACATTCAGCCCCCAAAAAACAGTTATCATTGACAGATGTACACTACATGTGCATATGCAATCAAACCTGATCTCCCACAGGAACACTAAAATTCTAGCAATGACTTACTAATTCGACCATGTGTTAAAATTGGAAAAATTAGCATGATCACAATTTTAATGAACACCCTTGGTCAGGAAATCAGAGCATGTATTATACCGGATAAGTTTGCAGTCAGGGACCTCTCTAAAATATTGAGGAGTAATGATGCCAGTTTGAGGACTGAGGCACATGACAGTCAGACCACTTACTATACATCTGAGAACTGGACAATGAATAAGGATGACAGAAAAAGAATTGATGCCTTTGAACTGTGGTGTTAGAGAAGAGCACTGAACATCCTATGGACTGCCAAAAGAACAAACAAGTGTTAGGGTGCAGCGAGAAGGCTCTTTGGAGGCAAAGATGATAAAGCTTCACCTCACGTACTTCAGGTATGTTGCTAGAAGGGGCTATTACTTGGAGAGGGACATGATGCTCAGAAAGGCATAGGGTTGGTCAAAGTGAGGAAGACCTTTAAAAAAGGTGAACTGACAGAGCAGGAAGTGTGAGGACGGTGCAGGATAGGACAGGATTCAGATCAGTTTTTCAAAGGGTTTCTATGGGTCATACCTGATGGCACTTAACATTAATTAAGTATATTTTTCACCTCAGTCCCTAAAAATGATCCAACATGAAAGAACAGAATATCTAACAATAAACAGTGCTCCTATGTATACCAAGCACACCTACTTTTAATTTTAAAAAGAACCAGTAGTCCCTATATACAAGTCAATTCCATGCTATGAAACAAGAAAGACCAGAATAAATGTGAGGAAATTCTTATTTTTAACAAAGAGTAATGGTAACCAAGGAATTTACCAGGAAAGGAGGATGCTCTCACTTTCAAGTTATAAAAACTTAAGGGAAGGGGAAAAGACACGAACAGTAATTTAAGTGTTAAGATGGTCAACTTATTTAACTGATAGTGTCTCTGCCAAAGTTCGTATTACAATTCAGTATTATATAAAAATATGTATCCCTAAAAAGATATATATGTAATATAAGGATGAATATAATAGAGTATGTTTTACTTTCTCAAAGTAAAGAGTATTGATAGTGGAAAAGTAAACTGGAAGACCAACATGAAGTAAGGTCACTGAAAGATGACATCTAAATGATAAACTTGAGGGAGCTGTGAAGAATTATCCTACAAAACAAAGTGACACAAGACTGAAGGAATACAGCACAAATGTACACACTATTTTAATTTAAAAAGGTAAAACACATATGGCTGAGAATATTCCAGAATTTACTGGGTAGAAAAGAAACTCCTGAATTATAATATTGTTAAAAGTCAATGAATAAGCTAAAGGCAAGATCTTAATATCAGATACATGAGAAGCATGTTGTTATTTGCCAGAGAGAATGCAAACTCATCATAATGAACAGAAGTGTTTCACTGAATTTCCTAGACTGTTAATTTCTACAAGAGCAAACTGCCCGATCTTTTCTCCCACATAGAAGCTGATGGATTCAGACTGCCAACCTACACATGGCAGCAGTGCTTAACCACTGTACCACCAGCACACCTACAGATTATCTATAAAAAAACTAAGTCAACTGACAGTTGACTAAATAGTAAAAATGAAAGCCAAAAAGGCTGTGTAGTATTTTCAGAGTTCTGAGAAGAGTAACTATCAACCTTTAATCAATGAAACACCTTCCTTTCAACATATTTACTGACAAAACTGTTGTCATTTACTAACAGACCCTCACCGAAACATTGCAAAAGACATGCTTCAGGAAAAAAATAATGCCAAAGTCTGTAAATGCAGAGAAATTATGAGATAAGAAAATTATAATTAACATCCAATTTGTGGAACTCAATCACATACACACCCCCCCCCCCAAAAAAAAGTGGTCTAGAAATAAAGTAGAGCAATAACAGCATTTAATTCAGTTAGGAGGCTTCGCTTAGGGTGAAGGACTGCTCAAAGGTCTATCTTTAAAATCCAACAAGACCCTTGGGCCAAATTTATTAATTTTCAAATTAATATTCCTTAAATGATACAGCAATCTTTTGTCTAATTGCTGAATTGAACAACTTGGTGTTTGCTGTGATGCTGCACACTGTTCCATAGTCTTGTCAAATATCATAGTGGCTACCCATTACGTACAATGTTTAGATGAGCTTCCAGATTGATTTATGCTGGGAAACAGGAGTGGCATCCACTTCCTAAACTAGATACCTCTGGAAACTCTACAAACTCTAAACTCTAGAAATGTACAGAAATGATGTTATAGAACAAAGTTCAGGTCTTCTGTGCAACTTACTCTCAGTCGTATTCACCTTGATGACACATAACCGCTGCTAAATCAAATTACTGCTGTTATATCTAGAGGAACACTCTTCCACTTTGAACATCACTCTCTTGTCAAAGTACAGTACGAAGTAACCTGGGTTTGTTGCAATGCTGAACCTTGTACCACTGGGGTATCAAATACCAGAATAGTTTCCCAGTGTGGACAGTGTTTGGTGGAACTCCCAGAGGTAAAACAGGTTTGGAAGCAAGGAGTGGCATCCACTTCCTAAACAACATGCCTC